CGGTCGGAGGGGACAGGACGCACTGGCAGGTGGGCCGGGAAGAGGACGGCGACCTCCAGCCCAGAGCCCCTGCATGCCGCGCAACCCACAGTGGGAGCTATGGTCAGAGGAAGACCTTTTAACCAATGGATAGAGTGGGTAAGATATGGAATACCTACCTTCAAATACAGATGTCAGAATCTTTTTGGTCATGAGGGAGGAAGCCATAGTGAAAATGTGGACAGGAACTCCAAGAGGTGTTTGTCTATCAAAGAGAAAAGCATCAGTCTGGTAGACTCCACTCCTCTGCAGCAAAGCAGTCCCTTAAGAGAAAATGTTGGCATTAAGTCCTTCAAAGAATTCTTCCAGGAGAAACCAAAACAGTGCTACTGAAATCCCTCATTTGTTGAAATAACCATCGAGAAGGATAATGACTTGTGTGTCACCCCAGGGACGAGACTTACACGAAGAGATTCCAGCTCTCGACGTGCCCCACGGGGTGAAAAGAAAAAGCATTCTTGTTCCACAGACTCAGAGTTCTTCGAATACTGATAAAAAGTTTGGTAGAGCTCAAAGTGCACTGCGAAGGCGAGAGTGAGCTCAGCGCGCGACATGGACGGTGTTTCTAGCAGAACCATTGGGAGCCACTCTCTGAGACAGAGGTTACAGGACGGACACGGTGGGCTTTTGTTTTCCCATGAGAAAACACCAAGCAGTCGAAGTCCCTCTTTTCCAATAAACGAAAACTACATCTTTCTGAATTAATGCTCAAGAAATGCCCTTTTCCTGCTGGCTCAGATTTAGCCCCCAAACGGCATTTGATTAAACAGCATACAGCTCCCCTGAGCCCACATTCAACATTTTTTTTTTTGATACATTTGATCTGTCCTTGGTTTCTACAGATGAAGAAGACAGACTTAGGGAAGACGGCTTAGTATTAAAGACGGGGTACCCCTCCCGGTGCACAAATACATACATTTGAAGCTACCACGCAGGTGAATCCCTTATATAAACTGGAACCAAAGTTAGCTCCGAGAATGACGGAAATGAGCGGGGACAGTTCTGCAGTTCCACAAGCTACTTGTGACTCAGAAGAGGACACAACCACCCTGTGTTTGCAGTCACGAAGACAGAAGCAACGCCAGGTGTCTGGAGACAGCCACGCCCATGTTAGCAGACAGGGAGCTTGGAAAGTCCACACCCAGATTGATTACATACACTGCCTTACGCCCGATCTGCTTTGGATCACAGGGAATCCCCGTTCCTGGGGAGCGATGGATCGCTATGAAGCAAAAGCCCTTCCGGAAGGGAAACCTGAAGGCACATTTTTGCTCAGGGACTCTGCGCAAGAGGACTACCTCTTCTCTGTGAGCCTGCGCCACCACCACAGATCCCTGCATGCCCGAAATGAACAGTGGAATCACAACTTTACTTATGAGGACCCATGTGTTTTTCATTCTTCCACTGTAACAGGGCTTCTAGAACATTATAAAGATGGCTTTTGAACCACTGCTTCCTATATCTCGGAATAGGACCTTTCCTTTTAGCCTGCAGTACGTCAGCCGTGCAGTCAGCTGCAAGCACTACGGTCAAAGGAATTCATGGGCTCCCTCTACCATCAGTGTTATGGAATTTCAAAAACAGTACCTCCATAAACAAAAGATTAAGGTTCGCTGGCTAGAACGGGGACTAGTCAAAGCAAAGTAAGCTCTTCTGTCCCCAAAGGGCATGAACTAGTCTTGCGTTCACGTGCATCGGTATGCTTCTCAGAAGCGCGGTAACAGCACTAGATTTTCTCAGGCAGTCTGTAAGTTTAGTTATTAGTCTCTGCCCGATGCTGTTACTTACTCAGACGGACGCGGTGCCTACTGAACCAACAGTTGTCTAGCAAAGCTATGAAGACACCTGCCAGTTTAGCCAACACTTTGGTTTCCAGGAGCCGTAGTACTCAAGTGAGGTGACTCTGGTGCATTCACTATGAAGGATTCTATTTCTCACTAAAGAACAAACTACTAGTATTGGAAAAGCATTCCAACAGTGTGACTAATGTTTGAAATTACTTTTCTCTAAGAATTTTTGGGTAATCTTCCAAAAGTTAGTGATGTTTGTAGTTACTATAAATCAAGCTTTAGAAGTGAAAACAAACAAAAAACCCAAAAGACCGCCTTCCTTTAAAGGAAAAAAACAATGCAACTTTCTGGCCACAAGGACATAGTGCAATTCACTTAAAGTGTTGATGTAGTTCATAGTCTCCTTTTCTCTTCTTTGAAAGGTAGTTAAGTAAACCAGGTTTTCTAAATAGTCATTCTTAAAATTTCAGACTTACAAAGTTTCGTATTAGAATATTTATTTAAAGGTCCTAGGTATTAAATTTTTTCAGTGAATGCTTTAACTTAAAACAGGCATTTGGAATAGCTGCTGCAGCTGTAGTCCTGTGTGTGATTTCTTTTTGAAGTTGACATGTGCAGTCTAAATATTGTTTCACTAAAGTTGGATGTTTCCTGTACCCAAGATGAGTTCATGAACCATGAAGGAAATGAGACAAGAAATCACCCCAAGTCAGACAGTAGTAACTACAGTGGTTGCTGATGTTGAGATTGTTAAACTATAATTAATTATTTAGATAGCAGTATTTATCTTTGTTGTAAGCTCTTATAGCTGAATTGTTTAAGTATAATTTATAGAACTTAACTACAGTTAATTCTTCATGGAACAAACTGAAGTTTAAATTGCACATTCAAAAGGTACTGCACAACCATTTTAACTTTAAATTAAATAACTTTTCTTAGCACCTTTTTGGTCATTTAGAATAGTATGTAATACAACTTGAGTGTGTGCTGTGGGAAGTGTTACCAAGTCTAGTGTCTGTTTAGTGTTGAACTGAGTCTTCAGTTCTGGCCAACACATTTGCCCTACAGTAGCCGCCTGCATTCTTGTGTCCTTTTGTTACTGTGCTCTGTATCGCTAGTGAGGGTCCTTAATTTCCTTACCAACTGCTAAAGAAGGTCATTTTATATCCCTATGGCTATTGCCAAGGCTACAAAATAGAAAGCTATATTTGTATGCAACACTAACCCTTTGATTGCTAATGTATACTTCTGCTTGCTGTGCCTTGTTAGGCTGCTTTTTTTTTTTCTCTTTGTATATCTGCTGTTTTATACATTTGCAACAGTTTGTCCTGTATGTGGAATGCTTTGGGGTGTTAAGTAAGCATTATCTGACAACCTACTACAGTTAAGGCAGATTTATCTACAGTCTAATATTGACATACCAGAGTAAGCTAACTAAATCTAATGCTTTTCTAATAATCACATATACTGTGGAACAGTATAGTTACTGAAAATCACTGTACAGTTTAGGTCACAACAGAACATTCCCAGGGAAATGATAAACAGTATCAATTTCTCTGATTGTGAAAGTGAAAGACAGAACTATGAGTGATGTAGTAAATGAGTATTTACAGCGTCCAACTGCATTAGAGACAGGTTAAATGAAGTCTTCTGAACTAATAGTGCATTAGCACCACTTATTGGTTTGGGGATCATTTTATTGATAATAAATGCCCCAAATGTAGAACTTTATAACCAAATACTTGGCCATTTTAATGCCAATGGGTATTGAAGGGACTTAAAATTTCTGTTATTTCTAGAAGTCCCTAAAGAACATATACCAAAGTGTTTGAGAACTTCATCCAAACCTACTTTAAAAGCATTATGTGCAATTAAGTTATTATAAAATAATTATATTGCATAATTGTTGGGTTTGTTTTCTTGAACTTACAATGTACCTGGAAAATAAACCTCTTGAGAGAAGAAAGTCCATACTGATTACTGGAAAAGGACTACATATGCAAGCATGACGGTGTTTTGAAGAGGTAACTTGAAACTCCAAGAAAGCACTTGATGTTTTTACATGCTTGTAGCAAATTATAGTGTTGTAACTATAGTTTTATAGAAAGTATTAATGCTTTAATGTATTTCAAATTTTTCATGTTAAATGGAAGTTTTCTTAATGTGTAACTATTTGAGTTTATGTAAGCACGGTGCTAAAAGTCACTTATGTTTCAATTTATGTATAATATTAATATGTAGCTTTTGCTTCAATTTTTTTTCTTCAGGTATTAGTGGCTTACATTTTAAAAAAGAAAAAGCAGCATGAAAGAGTGCCTAAGTCTATATTCACTGTGTCTTTTCTGAATCCCACTGTAGCCTGTCAACTGAATGTTGTTTCTGTGGTCTGTTTGCCTTTCATTATAAGCCAGGAAATTATTTAGAAGTTGGGACATGTCATAGTGAAATAACCCAAGGAAGGGGTGGTTTTCATTCACATCCATTTTCATTCAGTATTCCTTCCCTTCCTATACACACACCCTTTTCCCGCTTCCCTCTCCTTCACACCATCATCCTCTTTCCCTTCTTTACTTCTTCCCTCTGTCTCCCCCACCCACATGCATACATGTGTATTGAACATTTATGGATAGGTACATGCGTACATATATTCATATATGGTGTTAACATTGCTTTGGACAATAATATGCCATCTGATTTAAAAATATTTACAGGCTTCATTCAATAGCTGAACCCCTGAGGAATATTCTTGTACCATTCAGACTGTTATCTGCTCCTAAAGTTTAGCTTTGCCAATATAGTCTAACTTGTAATACAGTCGCCAAAAAGAGAGAATTCATCAGTATTTTTTTCAAGTGCATGTGCACAGCAGCTCCATCTTTTTCTTTCCTAGGTAATCATAAAAATTAAAGATGAAGCAACTTGCTCTGTAAAAAAACAAAAACACACATGAATTTGACAACATATAGCTTTGACCCTGAAAGTTACTCTGTCTAATAACACTGATCTGCTGGAACGACATAGAAAAGTGGTACAGAAACACGGTCCAGGATTGAACAGGCCTTTACAGGGTGATGCCTGAAAACTGTCTTCTGCAGTCCCGGGTGGAGAGAATCTCTGGGCCTTAATGTGTGACACAATCGTTTTCCTCCATGATGTAGGATTTGTCTTCTTCTGGACTTCGCAGTTGCAAAGCTTGAATTTGAGGACGAGTTCCCAGAAACTCACTGCAGAAAGTTATTGAAGAATAACATGAGTGAGGGAAATATAGATCACTTCTAAGGTACGAGTGTGCTTTTATTTATGATCCAGCAAGTTTAGCTATCTGTGACCTCTAGGAGTCCTGTTCTTGCAAAGGAAACAAAACTATACCATTTGGCAGTATGAAAAGTATCATCATTGTAAACTCCAGCAATGTCTGATTTAATAAACTAAGAAACTGGGTGTGGTGTTGAACACCTGTAATCCCAGCTACTAGGAGGCTGAGGCAGGAGGATCATAAATTCAAGGCCAGCCTGTGACTTTATGACACCCTGTCTAAAAATAAATAGGGACGTTGGGATATACATGAGTGTGAAGTCCCTCAGCTCAATCCCTAGTACAAAAAATTTTAAAAACTCAAAGTAGTATCCTTCAGGATGCTCATATAATACAAAAATAGAATGATAAAAATGAAAACTAAAAAGACACATATCTAGTATCAAACTGAGTTCCTCAATTTTCCAAAGTGGCTAAGAACTACATAACTGAGGTTTCCACAGCTGTGAATTCTGGTCCTTTAGAGATGGTTATTAGATCCATTCAGTGATTTACATCTTGTAAGATAAAAAGTATAGAATGTGGCAAACAGTCCTGCTTCACATGTCTCTACTGGATCCTTTTGCCACAAGCCTTACTGTGTCTTATGGTCCAGTCTCAGAAGGCCTGGGTTAGAAAACATTTAAACACATACATTAATAAGCAACACCAAAGGTGAAGGATTAACTTTCTGGAAAGAACTATGGTGCTCCCTGTGCTTGCTTCTCACATCCGTTAGGGGGCGCTTGGTGAGACGGCTTGGAGAGTTCACACTGCCACGCCTTGTCTGGAGTCCACCCTGTGAACCCCGACTGAGCTGCACAGAAGCCAAAAGGTCCCATCAGGAAAACAGCAGACCCAGCCTTAACGCACGCCTGGGTTTGCATGTGGCTGGTGTTTTGTACTTGGTGTAACAGCGACTGTTGCCACCATGGAAATGTAGACCTTGAGTCTTTAGACGGGCACAGAGGAAGACCAAGTCACCACCCAGTACACTGAGAAGAACAAGAGAGACAAGGTCAGTCACACATGTGGTTAACACTTCCAGTCTCAACAAAAAATGAGTCAGTGTGACAAACGCCAAAAAGAAAAGGTCCATGGGAAAGCCTCATACTATGTTAAGTAAGGATTTTTTTTTCTACATTACATTTTCTACAATAGTTACATAGTGATAAAAGTTACAGAGAAAAAGATAAGTCAACTATGTAAGAATAAAATCACATGACACAAAGAATGCTACATTCCATCATTTTCCACCTAAAAGGAACATTTCCTTTCCTTGCTCGGAGAAATTAATGAAAAACATTTACATCCTTGGGTTCCTGAGATTTGGTTCTTTATAGACTGTGTGTTAGGACCTGGATGGCTTCGCACATTTCTGAGCCTGTTTTCTGATCTGTAAAATGACAGCATTAAGCACCCACCTCATAGGTTTATTGATGTGAAGGCAGAATGGTAAAATAAAGGCTGGGATGCACTGGGCACTTAGGATGTGTTGCACACTGTTCAAGGCACATCCTGTGGATTGGCTCATGGGACTCACACACAGGCAGGCCTGTGCAGAGCCATCCACAAAGGACAACTAGGTATGGCCAACAGAGGCCTAGTAGGTGCTGACTTCAAATCCAAAAAGGACTTTGGGTAGAGTCCACCCGCACTGCATGAAGGATGACAGTTGGCTTTCTAATGGGGCAGACAAATGCATGGCACAGAACCAGTCAAAGAGCCAGTGTAACTGAAAGGTCTTCACAAATGGAAAAAGTTTACGTATCTATAAAGCCAGGTAAGCAACATCGATGACAGAGCGAGCTGGGTATTGAACAGGTGAAGAGGTGGGAGCTGTGTATACCCAGAGGCACTGGCCCTGCCTCAGAGCCCTTGCACTTCCTGCCCCTTCAGCCAGGAGTTAGCCTCCCGCAAATCTGCTCCCTGGGCTCACTCAGGGAGCCGATTCCCTGTCCTATCTCATGGTGTTGGTATGGAAATACCTAAAAGGACCTTGTTCATTTTCTCACATGTTTTCTAGATCATTTTGGAACATAATAGATATATGATAAAAAAGGAAAGCATTGAATAAAATGAAAAAACAAAGCAAAATGATGCATTTAGTACACAGCTCCATCATGCAAAACTGCAATGTTGTTCTTTTACTCTAAGATTAGGAAAAGCTCTCTGGTTCCAGTTGTGCCTCAGCTGGAGGGAAATACAGAAACTCAGAGCATTGCTGGAAAGTGTGCAAGACCACAGAGATGCACATTGAGCTGAACTTTCAGGATCCAAGGGAAAGAGTGGATAGTCAGGAGACAAAGGGGAGAGCAACTAAGAGTAATTTCTCTTTATTCTTATTAGAATGAGAACATCAGAAAGTGTTACAACCCCTTTCAAACTTACTTTAGTGTCCAGGTCCTCATTTTGCTGATGAAATACTCTAAGTTGGGGTGCAAGGAGCCAGAAAGGAACAGATAAGAAAATTAAACATGTCAGCAAAATGTTCATGCTCTCTGCTTCCCATCAAGTACACTATTTTTGCCATCATTTGAACACTTCCCTGATACCTTTACATAATTCTTTCTTATAACCCCATCTGAGTCTACAGAAACCCAAGCAAGCTCATTAGTGCTCAGGGTCTCGTTTTCATTGATATTTGGTAAACTCACCCACATGTCATGAGTTTCCATAATGAAACTGTTAGATAACCTTTATTTCAATAAATGGCAATGTTTATAGTTATCCCAACTGGCTGCTGGAGATCAGGCATAAACCCAAGATTGTCCCCAGCTACATGGGACAGAAGATTCCTCAATAAAAGGTCATGCCTCTGCCAAAGACTTTTCGTGTTTTGACAAATTTTTATATTCCCAGTAATCTCTCCATGTAAAAGGGAGATAAAAACTGTTTTGGTTAAATGATGAAGCATATTTGAGGTATTTTACACAAATTCTAATAATCATTTTAACTAACCAAGTTCTAATTATAGCAATTAGGTAGAAATGTCCTCAAATTTAACAAGCAAACTTGGTTTTCTGATTTTTCCTCAGACACATTACATAGATCAGCAAAAAGTTCATATAGTGTCTTGCCAAAAGATGACTAAGGTTCTCTGAGAGGAGGAAGAGGAACACACGCACATGCAGGGGCACGCGTAGGAACACACGCACATGCACGGGCACGCGCACGCACACACACACACACACACACACACACCTGGCAGAAAAGGGGCATTCATCCTGGGATGGCTGCCTCTTAAAGACCTGTATTCTAGAGTTCTAGCATTATTCTTTCACTGTCCCCTCCCAAAGTCTCATTCACCTCTTCTGCTCAATAGGTTCCCTAATCTTTCCACACCCACCTATGGGGACAAAAGCTGGACCTTGAGTGGAAAACAGAACACATCTTCCACATCACAATAGTTTGTTGCTTCCCACATTCCAAACTTACTCAACAAATTGTTATTTCTTAGTATTTAAGATAATTTAAATTTAGTTTTTCTCTGTGTGGGAGTAGGAGTTGAAAAATAAACACCATATTTAAGAAACAACAGTATTTAGTAAAAACTCCTCTAGAACGTAAGCTCCATGAGACTTACAGAGGTACTATAAATGGCAAAAAGACCTTTTCTAAAAATAATAATAAAAGCTTAAGAATGCTGTGAATTTCCTGTTTGCCAGAAGTCATTCTCAGTGCTCTGTAGGCACTAACACAGCCCCTGGGAAATAGAAGGTCCCACCACGTGCATCTGACACATGAGGATTGGGGGACCAGGGAAGCCATGTGGAACAAAATGATCAGCCACATGGACTACACTACTTGCATGCAGACATTTGGCTGCAGACCCTTGCACTAGTCCCTTAAGAACAATCTTGAAATTACTTACTTTTGATAACGATGGTGACCAAAACCATGAGCAAAACCAAGCTACAAATAAGGATTCCAATATAGAGTCTGTCACTGTTCATCCATGTGTTTTGTGCTTCAAACACCTGCTGAGGAAACATCAACAAGTTGTAAAAGTGCCTTGTTAAGAGTTATGAACAGAAGGAAACATTTCCTACAGTACCTTAACCCAAGACACTCACTCCACTGTCCTTTGGCTACTTTAAGAACAAGCGTAAGACCACAACCCATTAAACCTCAGACCAAATCATCTGAGGATATAAACATAGGCAGAAATTCTAAGACAATTTGAAATTCAAAATGTATTTTAGGGATAACGGCAATAATTTCTGTTTGCTTCAATCATTGTTTACATAGGTGTATTCTTTGGCAAAATTAAACCAGTACACATGAAATATATGTATATGTTATGTATATAAATCATATCTATATTAAAATCCGATAGGCTATTTCTGTAACTTCATCATCTTCCAGTACTAAGAATGAATTTCTGTTCATGTATAAGTTGATTTTATTTGCTGTTATCAAAGTGTGCTTATTTATTGATTATTTATTGAATTTGGGCTTTTATATGTTCCTTAATTGTTTTTCAAAATGTAATATAAATTGTGTGTGCCTGGTGTACTCCCATAATCCCAGCATTCTGAGGCAGGAGGATTGCAAGTTCAAGTCGAGCCCGGGCAACATAGTGAAGGGAGATACTGACTCAAAATTTTTAAAAACCAAAATAAAAAAGGGCTGGGGATATAGTTCAGTGTGTATAGAGTTCAGTCGTGGGTCCTGCAATTAATCAATTGATCAATCAATCGATCAAAAATCAATTAAAATGTAGTACAAGATACTATCTGTATTAAAAAGACTTTGGAATAACTGGTCAAGGACATGGCCCCGACATGACACTGTAACACTGTAGTGAGGTAGAAATCCAGAGTTTATTGAAATCCAGTACATCCCCGATCTCAATAAATAAACAAATAAAAGTTTGGGCTGAGGATTTAACTCATGATGCTGCCTCCTGGAATAAAAGAGAAACATGCTAGGCATTATGTTAGGCCCCTTTTCATAGCTTAGCTCTAATCCTAAAGAGATCCCACAGGACAGGTACTTTAGCCAAAAGAAAGCAGAAGACCAGAGAAAAAGATCAAGTGTTTCTACATAAGAGCTGAATCTCAACTTAGACACTGTAAGACCAGGGACAAGTCATTCGGCCCTCTGACCTTCTATTTCTGTGCCTATAAGCAGTATATTCAATAAGGTAGTTGGGTTAGATACCTTTAGCCTCTTGAGAAACCCCATAAGGAAAATAAAGCAAAGTAACAACACATGCATCATCCTTGCTTAGAAGGGGCCTAGCCACTCTCTGGGAAGGACAATTGTGTTGCTTTAACGTTGCTATGCAGAGGGCACAAGAGCACACAGGTGGAGAATGGGGTCTCAGGAGACAGACTCACATTTTGTTCTTTAAATTTTATCACCCCAATGGGACATGTTCATTTGAGTACGCAGCCATGAAAGGAAAAAAGGAAAACTAAAAATAACCATTACCTGATGTCCATAAATAAGCATTGTTGCCATTTTTGCTTTATATATTCTGCTAGAGTTTATCCTTCTAGGATCTTTAAGCAAACACAGTAACTAACTCCTCTTAGGACCTCATTAGCCATTAGCAGGCCTGGAAGGCTCAAGGGGTTCAAAATAGCATCCTTTGCCAGTTAGAATGCAGTGAATGAAGAAAGACCTCCTAGTCTAATGCATTTATGGTCATCTGTTAGAGCTCAAACAACCCCAGCAGGAAGTTCAAGGGCACTTTAAGGCTATACCTTAGGCACCTTCATTATGAGAGGGAGCTGTTTCCACAGCAAAGGCACACAGCACACCTGGTTGCCATGGCCGGAGGCCCAGTGATATCAGAAAGGGAAACATTCTTTAAAGACCTTCATTTCTTGAGTTAAAACCTAATCTAGATTAGGATCTTTGCTTTCACAAATTCCTTTTACAGGTTTCTTACAGGATCAAGTCCACTGACTATCTGAGCAGAAATAAGAAGACATTTTTGCAATTCCAAAGTAGCCTCTGAGACAGACGTTCCTAAGCATCCCAATCACCATGGTTTCTTGAAGCCCAGGAGTAACTTGTGAGCACACAAAGATGTCCAAACTCTGCACTCTCCAAGCATGTGCCGAGAGGGCATTGTCTGCCTTCTTTCAAGGTGTAAATTTCTCCACGTTTGCTTTCCAATAAACTCAGCTCATACTTCTGAATGGCCGGCCAGCTTTGTGTCTTCACTGAATTCATTCATCAGTCACAAAGGACTAAGGGCCAGGGCCAGTGTCCCTTGGTGTCAGGACCCTGCTACCAGGGACAACTCTCCATGTGGTACGGCATGTGCACCAATGTAGAAGTCACTGTTCTCACTTACTGACCTATGGTGCCTCACTCCTTCCCATGCGTCAGTAAGTGTGGTGCAAGAACTGCATTCTTGCTGGCAATATCTGCTTGTGCTTAACTGACTAAATAATAATTCCTTAGTATTGAAAATGTCCCTGTTTATAATATGTTCGTGAAGAACAGTAGTAATGAGTATTCTTTCTCATATCCTCATATGTTGGTTTAATTCTCTCTTCAAGATAGAGCCCAAGAAGTTAATTAACTGGGTCAAAATGCATGCTGTTATCTACTCTTTTCAGTATATCTGGGAGGCATCTTCAGAGTGAAGACACAGTAAGTTCACATTTTGTTATTTCTACCTGTCTTCAATTTGCTCCTATATTCCTTCTACTCATGGCTGAACATATCTGTTACACAAGTATCTGAGGTGAAGAAGAACATCGCCATTTAGAGGATTTCTGTAACCCTAAACTTAAGTCTGCTCATTTAGCAACACAATGAACAGTTACATAGGGGTAGCTCTGATACTAGCCAATATGCACAAATTTAGTTCAAACAGTGCCCTTGTTATAAATGTTACCATGTGTATGTGTGTTTGTGTGTGTGTATGCATGTGTGTTTGGTGCTGGGTATAGAATCTATGACCTTTGCACTGATATATATATATATGTGTGTGTGTGTGTGTGTGTATGTGTGTGTGTGTGTGTGTGTGTGTGTGTGGTTTTGTTGTTGTTGTTGTTGTTGTTGTTGTTGTTGTAATGGGGATCGAACTCTGGACCTTGTTCTTGCGAGGCAGGCAGCAGAACTACTGAACTAAATCTCTGGCCCTCCATTTTTATTTTTTGCTTAGAGACAGGTTCTCGCTGAGTTGCTGAGGATGAGCTTGAACTCATGATCCTCTTGCCTCTGACCCCCATAGGGCTAACAGTTCCTAATATCACCCTGCAATGTGGCCTCATTGTCACTACAGTACACAGCATAAGGCCACTTGGCCCTACACTAAACACTCCCACCTTGTCTGAGCTATCTGAGTGCTCTTTCAAAGGCCAGCATTTGATTAATCTATCTTTTACTTATCTTACTTGCACATCCTAAAACAAAGGTTGTTTTTCCCTGGAGCCAAAAAAAAAAAAAAAACATGTTGCACATAATTACTCCTAAACTTATCTGTACAGATAAGTATTTATGAGTATCATATGACTGAGGTTCCTTAGGTTTTTATCAACCTCACTGTGGAAGAAGTTTTAGAACATCCTGTAGAATCAAACTTTTTTAAGACCTTACTACCTTAATAAGTAATTATGTGGGGAGTTCTACATTCAGTGGCTTCAGAATTTCCACACAGAATGGTCATTGAGTAAGAAAAAGGTACTTTGAGAACTATTTTCATGTAAGAACTCTTCCCCTACAATTCTATTTTGGATTCAGGTAGCCCCCACTCCATCCCACTGAGTCAAAGCATGTTGGATCTCTAGTGATAATTACAGGCCTTGGTATGTTAGATTAACTTATTCTCTTCGAATTAACTCATCTTTCTAATTTTTTCCATGGAGAGTTCTATGGTGTTTGTGTGTGTGTGTGTGCGTGTGTGTGCGAGAGAGAGAGAGAGAGAGAGAGAGAGAGAGAGAGTGTGTGTGGTGTGTTATTTAGTAAAATATCACATATTTAACATCTCTAACAAACTGGTCCACCTAAATGAACTTCCCAAATTAAAACATTCTATTTAATACTCAATTTTTTTTCTTTCCTTTTTTTTTTTTTTTTTAAACAAGAAAAAATCAATTTCTGGGCTAGGCTTGCAGAAATAGTCTTTAAATTCAACTTATCTCCAGGAAGACATACGTGTGAATCTGGCTCCAATCAAACAGGGAACAATATGCTTACAGTTTGATTGTTATGCCGAGGGCCGTCTGAGGTCTGTGTCACCACGGTATTCCCATCTCCAGAAAAGAAAAAAAAAATTAATAAGAATTAACAAAAATATTAGATTTTCATTGAAGACACTAAATATATTCACATTAGCTTCTGGTGATGAATGGAAAGTAGAATGATAATGTGATAGAGTGCTGCAGGCATCCAGCAGTCACACCAAGTTACTAATATTTTATTAATTTATCTTACGAACTTGTGTTTGTTAACATTTTTCTCATGGACTCTTTGAAAATGGACTCTTTTCTTTTCCTTTATGGGAAAAAAATACATGTATAAACAATTGTGCCTGCAACTTCAGAAATCAGAGAAGTGCATTCATGGAATCAGGATAAGATGCCACTTAAATGTAATCCAACACTTTCACGCTGGTGAAAAAGCTGTCAGTGTGTACGCAGAGGCTGTACACAGCTCCAGAGACCAGAGCCACACTATTCAGAATGGACTTACCTTAGCGCCACAGTCAGGATGTGGGTAAAATGAATAATTACATGCAAAAGAGGTGGCATACAAATCTTATACTACATGCCATGATACCCATACTTAGTTCCAGAAACACTTGACAGGGCCAGGGATTTAGCTCAGTGATTCCACCACCTGCCTTGCAAGCACAAGGACCCAAGTTTGATCCCTGGTATCAAAAAAAGAAAAAAATGTACAGTAATATCTCTTAGAAACACTTTAGAAATATGTTGTTTCAGGTATAAATGTATTTTATACCCCATAAGGATAAGGATCTCATCTGGTATGAGAGACATATTGATCTTAAAGTTTCAAACAGTCAGATTTTTAAAGTGTTTTTAAAATATTTATTTTGTAACAGACAATAGGTAATATTGTCCTTTTTAGGAATCTATAGATCAAATACTGAGCACTGTACACCATAACAGCCAGGTCCTTAACCCCATTGGGGGATGAAAGAGACATGGAACGGTTACACATATTTCCAATGTTTCCAGTCTTATTTAGCTAAGGAGAGAAGCCCCTGCTATAGACATCACATATGTTGTTCTCTCATCAAATGGAAATACATTAGGTTTGTAAGTTCCCTCCCTACTGAAAAAGCTCACAGAGTCCCTACAGAAACAAAACCGGGTGACGCATCCTCTGCTCCTGTGTTTACACTCCTACTGCACTCATTCTGAGAGTGCATGGCGCTGAGCCAAAGGCAGCATCCGGGACTTGGCTCTGCTTGCGACAGATGATGACTGTAAGACCTTCAGAAGCCAGACTGGGTTGGGTACTGCAGATAAACTTTACTCTGGTCAGGGATTTAGCTCAGTGGTGCTTCCAGCCAAGTGCAAAGACCCGAATTTGATCCCCAGTACAAAAAAACAACAAAACACTGCACAGACTTGAGTCAGATGAAATCTGATTTCAATCTCTCGGCAGTGTGGCTTCTGCATAAACACATAGGCATCCATGTGTATGTACTCAGGTATCTCTAACTTGGATATCTGAACCACAAGCTATTAATAGTGCATACCAAAATGTGTTACAATTAAATTAGATGATACATAAAGTCCTTTTCTTTTCAGTACTGGAGATGGAATCTAGGGCCTTCCTACCAACTGAGCAACATCTCCAGCCTTTTTTCTATTTTTATTTTAGAAAGGGTCTCGCTAAGTTGCCTAAAGTAGGATGGAGACTGCAGTCCTCCTGCCTCAGCCACCCAGGGTGCAGGGATTACAGGTATGTGTCACCACACTGAGCCCATCCCCAGCCTTTATTTTTTATTTTGAGACAGAGTCTCGCTAAATTGTGCACCCAGGCCTTGACTTTGTAATCCCCCTGCCTCAGCCTCCCCAAGTAGCTGGAAGGACCGGCCTGTGCCACCACACGCAGCTACAGCGTATTATCACTAGGTGAAAGGAGCCATGAGGAAGAGGGAGGGACACTTTTGAAACCGTGACCACCTAGTGAGGAATGTTCAACAGCTTCCCCATCGGCACGCAGCTGGTATGGCTGCTGAATCAGGAGCTGTGCTCCAAAGCAGGTCGCCCAGTCTGGCGGTCACAGGCACACAGCCTGCCTTGGAAGAATTCAGTGAGACAATGCAAGTCTCCTGGCACACAGTGCGAGTCTCTGTCATGTGGGTGGGGAGCCATGTGACCTGCCTTCCAGACTCAACAGTCTCCACTTCCACACAGCTCTCACCAACATAGGACTGACATGGGTATGATGAAGACTGGGCCCAGGGGCCTCAGATACTTGGCCAAAATGTCAGCACTCCCAAAAATCCTGGGGACGCAGCTGCACCTGAGTCTGTTCCCCTCGGGAAAGCTCTACCTGGACCAGGTTTTAATGACATGATATTGTAGAGAATAACTGCCCACGCCTACTCTCTTCTTTCTCAACCCTACAAGAATGGGTGCAGCTCCTCCTACTGCTCTTACCTCATATTTCCATCATTTTCCACTCTGCTTTTGTGCCCAGAAACAGTGTAGAGTAAGAATCCCAATTTCAGAACCAAATATCACCATTATCTAATCCCTATTGACTGTGTGTGAATCTCACTACAGGTGCATCGCAAAATTACCAGTTTCCAGGAATGTGTGGGGAAAGGTCAGCCACAAGGCTGGAGAACCCACCCTGGATGTGGCAGAGGCACAAGGGCACCTAAACCAGCTCGGAGTCAGTCACAGGAAGTTCGGGACAAGGCGCTCTCAAAACTTAACGCTATGGGTAACAAAGGGAGTTAGCTAGGATAGGTGACAGGCTTCAGGGAGAGATGATCTTTCTGCATCTAGGAGACACAGGTCACTTCTACATCTACAAAGACTGGGACCTGCCCAGAGTTGGAGCAGTGGAGCATTATGTTTAGAAAACCTGCAGCTCGGTGCAGCCTCTACAGTGCTGATGTTGGTGGCTTCAACCTTCCTGTCCTAGTCTGCTCAGGCTGCTGTAACAAGATACCTTGGACTCAGTCACCAATAAACAAAAGAAATGTATTGGTCTCAGATCTAAAGGCTGGGAAGGCCAAGATCCGGGCACAGGCTGACTGGGAACCTACTGAGGGTTCTGTTCATCATAGATGGCGCCTTCAATGCAGCCCCGTTGGGAGGAAAGGGCAAACAAGCACACTCTGGTCTCTATTATAAAGGAACTAATCGGCCCCCAGGTGTCCCACCTCTTGAAAGTCTTGCACTGAGCATTAGGTACCAACAGATGAAACTGAGGGGGACGTGAATGCTCAGTCCACAGTACCACCTCAGAATGCCCATGTGCATACAAGCTTGACAGCAGGGTGGCCTCCTGGCCATATTTAGGGACTGGGCCTTGGAGGAGGTGACCCAAGGGGTCAAGCTCGGGAACAAGCTTAGAGCCAAGACTGGTTGATTTGATTTACAGCAGTAGAGTAACATGAAGGCTCCCGGTACTTCTACTATGGATGCTGGATGTTCTGGCTGGTGGGGTGGCTGGTATCTGTCCCAAGCCCTTCATCTCAGTGAATCTCTATCATCAGCCTATGAATCCATTACATCTCTTTTACAAATAATGAAACAGAGGGCCAGGGATTTAGCTCAGTGATTCTGCCGCCTTCCTTGTAAGCACAAGATCCTGTGTTTGATCCCCAGTAGCAAAAAAAAAAGATGAAACAGAGTCAGAGAGGGCAGACATAGGTGCCAAGTCACCACATGGTTAACTTGAGTGGCCAGTATCAGAACTAAAGTCAGATTCATTTTATTCCAGAATTTGTGTTCTCACTTAAGGCAACAGCTACCAAGATCTATAGGCTCCCTGTGTTCAGGAGACAGAATGAAGTTACCTGTTGGGCAAGAGTCTGGGGAGGAGGTGGGGGACTGAGGCTTTGTTTCCTGAAGTATTGTAGGCTGGGTCTCTCCTGTCTGAGTTGGAACAGGTGGAACAGTGTCTGGAACGAAAACAATGGAAAGACGATGATCCATTTGTACAGGGAAATATTCATTGCAAGCAAAAATAACAAATAAGTCATACCTAATGGCAAATACTTATAGTTCTAGCACTTCTGAGGTTGAGGCAGAAGGATTGCCAAGAGTTCAAGGACAGCCTAGAATACATAGTGAGTTCAAGACTACCCTGAACGACATAGTGAAGGAGACAAGACCTTGTCTCAAAAAGCAAATACGTGCATACATGCATACATACATATTAAATTGTAAATGTCCATCAATTTCCCACAAGGCCTTCATCCCAGCCTTGTCATGAGGTGTGATATCCACCCACTCACTTTAAGCCGTTTTAATTCTTCTTGGAAATTTATTTTTTAACTGGCCCCCAGACACTGAATTGCTACCTAGTTATTTCATTATCAGGGAGAAAATACGATCTATAAAATATTTCAGCCATCTTTATCAATATACAAAATTGTCCCCTATCTTCTATACTCCTAGATCCCTGTCCTCCTCTACACGCAAAGCCTACCACAGAGCATTTCAAGTGGGACACCCATTACACCTTTTACTTATTTATCCTAGTGACATTTTACTTTCAGGGTATCCGGCCTGGGCGTTTCCACTAACCTGTCCTACCCCTGATAATAGCCTCCATCTGGGTCTCCTAGGTATATTCAGGTTCGAGGTTGTTTGTCCACACAGCGCTCCAGGGAGACAGACGCAGTGACAGACTCATCGCGCGTACACTACTGGCGCCTTGATGTCTCCCCAAGGTGACAACATCGCTCAACATCTTGGCCCGGGCAATGATTCGCAACCCTCAAAGCAAGGCCCCTGGTAGACCCTGGTCCCAGCTCCTTCTGCATATGCAGCTCAGGCATCTTTTTCGAAGAGTAACTTCCGCACTCATCTTGCATTCATCCTCAAAACGATTCCACTTGAGAATTCTCTCACCCAGAGTTATGGGTCTCTTTCTTTCCTGCAATCTTAACTGTTTTTCTGATCGCTTAGCCTGCTTTATCTGCAGAGTTGGTCTCTTGTCTTTACAAGGTCTTCCCATGCTCTCTGTCTCGGAGAACACCACAGAACTGTGGGTCAGACTTGAGGAGGTGGCTGGATAAAAATTCCTCAGTCTGGCCTTTCCTGATTGCTCCTCACCAGTCTTTCTGTTTCCCTCCCCGCCAGTCTAGATAACTGTACATTTCAGCTTCACCCTTTCCCATGCTCTGAACTCTTTTCCTGTTTTATCTCCTCAAAACTGCAAGAGGATGTGGCTGTCTATAGGAACTAAAAACAAGACAATGCAAGAGTCAGATGGTCAGTCTTCACCCGATTTAGTTCTGCACAAAAGTCCTCTTGAGCTTAACTTCTTCCTCTATTGCATCTTTCTTTTCTCCCCACCTCCTACCACTTCACATCTAGGGCTTCCATGACTGTTTTGTATACAAGCTGCCAAAGTGAGCACTCTGTGACTGCTTCAGGTAGCTAACACAAGCCTAGGCAGATGCAGATGTAAGATAGCTTTCCCCGCATTAGATTGGCTGCAGTGCTCCCCTCCTCCGTGTAATGTAAAAGACAATTCTAAACTGAAAGTGTTTAGGAAACTATCAGGAGAAGAGTAAGACAGGTGTGATGCTGCATTCCTGCGATCTCAGCATTTGGGAGGCTGACAGGATGATTTCCATGATTCTGAGACCTGCTGGGGTACAGGCCAACCTGAACTGCATTGCTAACCCCTGTCTAAGAGAAAACAACAACAACAACAAAACAATTAAACTCAAATAAGAACACTCTCCAGGTCATGGACATATAAACTACCACCTCTGGCCATGTTTCAGCTTTGAAGGAAGTCAACAAATTATTCATATTTTCCAAGTCCAGAAATCTGTCTAGTTAACAGGCACAAAGTAATTATTAAAAAGTTAAATCAATATCAAGAAAGTCTCCCAGATTCTCTAGTGTGTTCAACTGCCTGAAGCAAAGCTGTGTTTCTAGCAAATTTTTATGGCTTTAAAATCCCAGTTATAACCTATCTTCCAAACTCTGCTCCTAGCCCAATCCATCAGATCACTCATGGTGAAATACACTCTATGGGAGTCAAGGAAAATCAATATGTTCCATCCTATTTTTCTAGCTAAGAGTTTGTGACATTGCTGTTACTGCTCAGAGTGCACGGCCAGTTCAAGAAGACAAAGGATTTCAGGAGGCTTTGAGACTTTCCATTGGAAGTTATCCTCTTAATCCCGGAAATAGATTTGAACCTAAACTTGCCCTTGGAATGACAAGTTATCTCTTCACCTGTCAGTCATTTCCACTTGTTTATTGTCTAAACTCTTTTCATGGGGAATTCAAGGTGTGAAAAATATGACATGGATTGATAATATAAACATGTATATACTAAAACTCCAAACCCTTTAAATGCAATGTTCACCTTTTTATGAGTATAAATTCCATTATTTATAATTTCCATGCCACATAAATTAAGATAAAAGATCCTTAAAGCAAATCTCTGTGAGGCACAAACTGTCCCCAAAAGACAGCATACTTTTATGTCTTCTTTATCCCTGAAGATGTCAAAACATGACAAATTCATTCAAATGTAAACCTCAGTATTTGTGATAGCAGAGATGATCCAGCAGTTAAGAGCACTGGCCTCAGATTCAAATGAACAGAAATTGAGTCCTAACTAAATTACTTTTTATCTCAATGCTTCTTAACCATGATCTTTTAGACCCTGTGTCTCATTTCCCACCATTATAAACTCTTATAATGACATAGTTGTCCTGAGAATTAAATGGCATAACACTCTAAAGCATGCATTAGTGGGATGCGGCACAAATGTTAGTGTCACTGATATAGATCCTTAATTGTAGGGCCTAACTTCAGAATGAAGTATATGACCTAGAACCTCATTAGACTGGTTATTACTCCCAGATTTTCCCTATTTTCTCATCACGGAGCCAGGCCCAGGTAGGTGAGGCCTACACAAGTGTCCTAAATCAGTGGTCCAGTTATTCTTCAAGTTGTACATCTGTGAAAGGTGTACATCATTTGACAACAATGGAGGACAAGGAATATTTGAAGCCTATGTTTTAAACCCAAGTAAGAATTCTTGCCCTACACAGTACTTATGTCCTGACACAGTGCCATGTTTGGTCTATGACTGCCCAAGAGAAGGCCTCTGGGCTCCAGCAGAAGTTTACTGTTTTGAGGTTCTGTGTATATATTGGTGTTGGAGGAGCAGAAGCAGAGACACCAGGTGAACTTGGAATGCTTGTGCTCCAGAGTGGAGTTAGAAATCAAGATGAAAGCAGAAATTAGCAGAAGAAAGAAAAATGAGAGCCTTCTACTGCAACCAGAGCTGAGCGCAAGAATGGCAGACTATCTCTAGGCAGGGCTCTCTCCAGGACTTGGTGTTTACAAATACCTTGCTAAAACCTCTGATTTGAGAAGAATTTGGAAACATTCTGGGTTTGAAGTGCAGCAGGTAAATTGAAAATTAAGTATTGTGGAGATAAAAACCCGTAACTCATATTTGCATTAAAGTTTTGGTTATTTTTTGGTTTTGTCTTTTTGGGTTTTTTTGTGTGTGTGGTTTTTTTGGGGTTTTTTTGTTTTTTGTTTTTTTTTTTTTGGTTTTTTGAGATAGTGTCTCACTATGTAGTTAAGACTGATCTGGAACTCACTATGTAGCCCAGACTGGTCTTGAACTCACAGTGATCCTCCTGACACAGCCTCCCGAGTGCTGGGATTACAGCTGTGCGCCACCACACCTGGTTTGCATTAGTTTTCTAAGAAACTTCCCTCCTGTCAGAGGGAAAGTGTTAGAGCCAGACAGGGCCCAGTGTGCTTCCTATGATCCCCTCTACTTTCCAATTCCCGTTTTACCTGTTTTGTGGCTCTGTGTCTGTGCTGATCTTGCAGTAGCAGTAGAGACATGAGGTGCTGTTGGAACAGTAGTGGTCCTGCCTGGAGTTACATATCAACAAGAAAGCAAGAATTAATGGAGCAATGAGAATCAAGAACGCCTGCAGGAGTTGTATCAGAGCACATTGATGCCAGGCCTATCTCTCCTGAACTTGGTTTTCAGCAACGGCCAAGTTGTTGCTGTGATAAGGGAGGGCTTTGGAGATACACTGAGCATGGGGACAAAGCTGCATTGAAAAGTATCTGAGAGATGAAAACACATATCTCCTATTTGCACTGAAGTCCCTTCTAGCAGACCAGTCAGAGGGAAGGTGTTTAGAGTCACACAAGGCCCAGTTTCCACAGCATCCTCTCCATTCCCCAATTCACTTTTTACCTGTTTTGTGGCTCTGTGTCTGTGCTGGTCTTGCAGGCGTAGTAGGGACATGAGGTGTTGGTGGAGCAGATGTGGTCCTGGCTGGAGCTACATGTCAATATGAAAGCAAGAATGAACAGAGCAGCAGGAAACAAGAGCCTCCCTTTGGGGCTGCACCAGAGCACACTGATGCCAGACCGCCTAGAGGCACTGCCATCTCTCCTGATCTTGGTCTTCAGCACTGGCCAGTGAGACGCTCTGGTAGGGAGGGCTTTGGAGAAACAGTGGGCAGGGGGAGGAGAAGCTGCATGGGAGAAAGAGTAAGTATCTGCCATGTGAACACACGTCTCCCATCTGTACTGAAGTCCCTTTAAGAAGACCAGTGCGAGAGAAGGTGTTGAAGAGTTGTGCAAAGCCTGTGCGGTGTACAGCCTCCCCTCTGGGCTTGAGTTCACATTTTACCTGTTTTGTGGCTCTGTGTATGTGCTGGTGTCAGAGGAGAGGTAGAGACATGGGATGTTGTTGGAGCTCTTCTGATCGTGGCTGTAATTAGCAATCAACATGAAAATAAGAATTCATGGAGAACAAGAAACAAGAGCTTCCTGTGGCTGAGTACACTGTTGACAGATTGTTTCTAGGCAGAACTATCTTTTCTGAACTTGGTCTTCACCAGTGGCCAAATAAAATATGTCATAAGGGAAGGCTCTGAATACATGCTCTGGGTGAAGTGGAGGAGAACCACTGTAAATTAACTGAGGAGATAAAACCCCAGACTCAGGAGAAGCCATGGCCCCTTGGTGTAGCACCTGCCTGGCAAGCACAAAGTCCCAAGTTTGATACCTGGTATGAAAATAAAACCCAAAAAGCCCCAATCGCGTATTTGCACTCAAGTCCCTGGTAGAAGACCTGTCAGAGGGAAGGTGTTTAGAGCCACACAGGGTTCTACATGGTGTAAATCTTCCCATCTCGCCTCCAGTTCCGGTTTTACCTGTTTTGTGGCTCTGTGTCTGTGCTGGTCTTGCAGTAGCAGTAGAGACATGAGGTGCTGTTGGAACAGTAGTGGTCCTGCCTGGAGTTACATATCAACAAGAAAGCAAGAATTAATGGAGCAATGAGAATCAAGAACGCCTGCAGGAGTTGTATCAGAGCACATTGATACCAGGCCTATCTCTCCTGAACTTGGTTTTCAGCAACGGCCAAGTTGATGCTGTGATAAGGGAGGGCTTTGGAGATACACTGAGCATGGGGACAAAGCTGCATTGAAAAGTATCTGAGAGATGAAAACACATATCTCCTATTTGCACTGAAGTCCCTTCTAGCAGACCAGTCAGAGGGAAGGTGTTTAGAGTCACACAAGGCCCAGTTTCCACAGCATCCTCTCCATTCCCCAATTCACTTTTTACCTGTTTTGTGGCTCTGTGTCTGTGCTGGTCTTGCAGGCGTAGTAGGGACATGAGGTGTTGGTGGAGCAGATGTGGTCCTGGCTGGAGCTACATGTCAATACGAAAGCAAGAATGAACAGAGCAGCAGGAAACAAGAGCCTCCCTTTGGGGCTGCACCAGAGCACACTGATGCCAGACCGCCTAGAGGCACTGCCATCTCTCCTGATCTTGGTCTTCAGCACTGGCCAGTGAGACGCTCTGGTAGGGAGGGCTTTGGAGAAACAGTGGGCAGGGGGAGGAGAAGCTGCATGGGAGAAAGAGTAAGTATCTGCCATGTGAACACACGTCTCCCATCTGTACTGAAGTCCCTTTAAGAAGACCAGTGCGAGAGAAGGTGTTGAAGAGTTGTGCAAAGCCTGTGTGGTGTACAGCCTCCCCTCTGGGCTTGAGATCACATTTTACCTGTTTTGTGGCTCTGTGTATGTGCTGGTGATGGAGGAGCAGCAGATGTTGTTGGAGCTCTTGTGGTGGTGGCTACAGATAAAACATTAACATGAAAACAAGAATTAATGGCAACAAGAAAAAAAGTTTCCCACCGCAACTGTAGCTGAGCACACCTATAACAGACCGGCCCCAGGCAGGGCCATTTCTCCTGAACTTGGTATTCACCAATGGCCAGAGAGAAGCTATTACAGAGTTAAAGCTGTGGAGACATGCTGGGAGTGAGCAGAGTAGATACGCTGAAAATTATTTGTGAGGTGAAAACATGCATCTCATATCTGCACTAAATTCTCTTCTGAAGACAGATCACAAGGAAGCTGTCTATGGTCTGCCAGTAGGTTGCTTTGTCTTTTCTCTGGCAAGTGACTGACTTGAACACTGCTTTTCATGCCAGCATGTTTACCACATAGTGCTCCATTCTGCCAGTCCTAGGAGAAAATTAAAAGAGACCAGTACCTTCACTAAAGGGAAACTCCTCCTCATTAATCCATGCTAGATCACATGCAGGGGCCAGCAGGAAAGGCCGCACATCTGGTGGGTGGGCAAACAAGACCTTGGGAGAATTCTTCCCATCTAAGAGTTATAGCTTGAGTATCCCTTCTCCAAAATGCCTGCAGTATTTGCATATACAAAATGAGACATCTAGGAAATGGCTCTCAAGTCTAAATGCAAAATTGACTCATGTTTCACATAAACTTTATACACATAACTTAATGATAAGTTTATATAATACTGTATTTTCAATAATTTTGTGCATGAAACAAGTTTCTTAGCATGAAATTATCTGCTTGTTCTGTCATGTCAGGGCTCAAAATTTCAGATTTTGGAGTATGGCGGATTTTGGATTTTCGGATTAGAGATGCTCAATCTATACTTTACAAATTGGCAGCATCTGAAACATGTAAGGAGTCACACAACTCACTGAAGTTCCGGGAGCCATGCAGAGAGCTGAGAATAAAATTAAGCCTGAACAGAGTGCCTGGTACAAAAGCAGAGTCAATAAAGCAATGGAGCTGGGGATTTAGCTCAGTGGTTCGGTGGTCTGCCTTGCAAGCGCAAAGACCCGAATTCAATACCCGGTACCAAAAAAATAAAAAAATAAAACAATGGATCAAGCATGTGTGAACGGTCTAGGAGAAGCCACATATGTACTGAAGAGCCGCAGACTGACTCTGGCTGACGGGAAGGTGGTAATGGTGCAGAGATGGAATGGCACACATCAAATTATCAAGTGGTCAGTCTTTACTTCATACACACACTCCTTTTGTTTGGCAGTACAAGGAAAAAAATCCAGGGCCTCATGCATGCTAGGCAAGCTCTCCCACTGAGCTATATCCCCAGTTTCTCTCTCTCCTTTTATTTTGAGGCAAGATCTTGCTAAATTGCCCAGGCTGGCCTCAAACTTAGGATCCTCTTGTCTCAACCTCCCAATGGCTAGGATTATGGGTGTGTGCTGCCACACTTGGCTTTAGACTTTTTTAGTGACCATTTATTGTCAACATCTCTATCTGTCCTCATACCCTTCTGACACCAGGATAAAGATTTTGGAATGTATAGCTAAGATTAACAGACATCCAACCTGCATCACCCCTGAAGCATACAATGTGATGAAAGAACATCTGAATTTTATTTTTTGTACCTGGGATTGAACTCGGTCCATGCGCTTGCAGGGAACATCTGAAATTTATACAAAAAATTTCTCTACTTTCCTGTAGCCTGATGTCACTGGTACCAGTATAACTGGTAAATGTACTGACTTACAGATTTCTTGTGTTCTGAGACCATAAAAGTCGTCTGACCTTTCCCACAATGGGGCCCATCACCTGTGGTAACTTGTGTCCATGTTCCCTAGGCCATGGTTATTCATATTCACCTCAGAGTAAACTGCTTTCATATTTCTTTTGAAGCAGGGTTATTTCATGTTAAAGGATGAATAAAAACTTGTTTCTCACCAGGCATAGCTTTTTCTTATAAGCAGTTTTATTAAATCTTCCATAAGTATAAAATAAGACCATAAGTCCCTTGAGTAGAGAATAATTGGTTTGAAAACTCCTTTGGAATCTTGTCAATTTTTGCCTTGAACAAAAAAAAAAGTTCTTGTGGGTACCTATGATATACAAGGAAATGTTGACAGTACAGGTTAGCAAAGCTTTTCCGCAAAAGACAAGACTAAATGTGGACAGGAATGTGGCACATATTTGTGATCAATCCCAGCATGCAGGTAGGCTGAGTCCTGAGGACCCAGCTTCATGAAGCATCTAGGCAACTTAGTGAGATCCTGCCTCAAAATAAAAAATTAAAAAGGTGGGGATGTGGCTCTGTGTGAGGCCTGGCTTCCACCCTCAGCACAAGGAAACAAAACAAAACAAGACAGATTATAAATGTTTTAGATTGAGCATCTACAACATGACTTCAGCTGCAACTACTCAGCATTGAGTTTGAAAAGAGCCTTTAGCAATACATTAAACAAACAGGTGCAGCTGTATTCCTATAAAACTTTATTTTCAAAAACATTCAGTGAGGCTGTTACATAATCCACTCCGGCTGTTGGGTATTGTTTGCTAACCCAAGCAACCTACAACCAGAAGGTTGCGCTGAGGGTGGAATGCACAGCCATGCCTCCACAGTCTAGAAACCTAATCTAGAGAAAGAAGAAAGCAAGCATGAGAGAAAAGTCTAATTAGAGGATCTCAAGAGATGCAAACCAAAATAGTTTGAGGAATCTCCACACTTATTTCCATAGTGGTTGTACCAGTCTACACTCCCACCAACATTAGAGAAGGGTTCCTTTCTCCCCAAGGCCCCATTAGCATTTGTTATTGATTTATTGATAGGATCCATTCCTTCTGGAGTGAGATGGAATCTGAGTGTTGTCTTAATTTGCATCTCTCGAATAACCAGTGATCTTGAACATTTTTTCATATATTTATTTTGTTTCTAATTCTTCATCTAACAAGGGTCTATTCATTTTAGATGCCCATTTTTTACTGGGTTGTTAAATTTGGGGGAGTCTGATTTTTCTGAATTCTTTAAATATTCTAGATATTTGTTCTTTGTCTGAGGAACTGCTGGCAAATTTTTTTTATCATTCTGCGGGTTGACTCTATTTGTTGGTGGTTTCTTGCTGTACAAAAGTTTTTCAATAAGGTTAAATACTAGTTGTTGATACTCTGTAATATTTCCTGTTTGACTGTGGAAATGCCTCAAAAAACTAAGAACCTCTAAATTCCATTTAATCGAGCTATTCCTCTTCTTGAAATCTTCCCCCCAAGATCAAAAGCATCATATCAAGATGATTTATGCACACCCATGTGTACAGCAACACAGTTTGTAATAGCTGAATGTTGGAAACAGCCGAAATGCCCATCAACCGATGACTAGATAGATTAGATGTGTAACTTTTATACAGAATACTACTCTGACACAAAGAATAAACTTGAGACATTACTAGCTAAATAGATGCACTTTGAGACCATACTTTTAAGTGCAATAAGTCTGACACACATGTTCAAATATTGCATGGTTTCTGTGGTGTGACAAATCAAAAGGGTAAATAAGGACCAAAATGCATAATATTGGAAGATAGGAGGACAATATTCAAATGGGAAGGGGCTTGTAGGGAGCACAGGGGTGGAGGGAGGGAAAAGGAAAAAAAGAATAGAAGGAAAAAGTGGAAGCAAAGCTTGTATAAGTAAGGTGTAGAAGGTTTAAATAAAGGGGAGGAAAATGGGACAAAAGGAGAAATTAAGATAAATGATGTACAGGTACAAGTTCCTTATGATGAATGTTATCAATAGGTATATCTAAAGTGTACTGATAAAATTAACTTAAAAATAAATAAATTAGCAGAAACATCACGCATAAAGCAAAAGAGGAAAAACCCTCAACAGCTCACAGGCGTTTCTGACTCAGGGCATTTGCCCCAAGGCAGAGCTGGAAAAGGTCAAGAACAGAAAGAGCTGGTGAGGAGAAGCCCTGGGGGAGTAGAAGAGTAAGCTCAGCATTTTGGATCCACAAGGAAACTCAAGCAAAGAATTGGGTCAGTAGAGCTGAGGCTGTCACACTGGCTCAGTTAGGGTCACTCTTGCTGGACCAGGCAGTAGTTTTGTAAACATTAAAAAACTGCTCATCTGTAATCCCAGACTCTGGGAGGCTGAAGTAGGAGAAACACAAGTTCTCAAGCCCAGCCTGGGCAATTTAGCAACTCAGCTAACCAAAAATTAATGAATAAACAAATTAAAGAAAAATTTTGAAAATCGAAGCACGATAAAGAGAAAAGCCACCTAGTTTCACTGTATTCCATTTTTGAAAAATTACCCAGGTCAGTAATATAATTTTACAACTCCAAGAAATTTGCAGTCATAATCATATCAGCTCCTGTCCACCCGCTCCTTTGCTACAGTGGGATGATGCACCCCTCGATTTGGCTTCTCTGAACTGCCTCCTGGTTAGCTTCCCCCGAGACAGCTAAACAAAATGTATAGGGCTTCAGGGCCGGGGATTTAGCTCAGTGGTTGTGCTGCCTGCTTCGCAAATGCAACATCCTGCGTTCAATTCCCAGAACAACAACAAAAAAAAACAAATGTCCAGGACTTCATCAATTTTCTCCCTCAAGGTGACTTCATTTGCTTGCCTTTCAAAGGGAAACAAACCAGACCTAAAAGTAGAGAGAGTGCAAAACAATGTTCCCCTTAATTATGGAGAGAGAGAGAGAGAGAGAGAGAGAGAGAGAGAGAGAGAGAGGGAAGTAGGAGGAGAGAGAGGGAGAGAAGTAGGAGGAGAGAGAGGGAGAGGGAGGAGGAGAAGGAGACAGAATATTAAGGCCACCAGCATTAGGTTTTCCTTCTACCTTAGCAGAGGGAGATTCATTTGTAAACAGGACCAGAAACTAAGAAATCCTCAAGGACCTATTTCTTTCACGAAAGGCTGAGGGAAATCAGGATATCCACATCATAAGAAACATAATGTTCCCAGATGTTTGGATTTCATGCCCTTCTTATAAGCAACTGATCAATGCTTGTTGGAATGAAACAACTTGTATATAAGGTCATTTTAATTATTTAAACAGCAGTTTCTCTGATATGATAGAAGATATAATTCAAAACCCCAAGGTGGGGCAGTGAAAGTGGTAGAACTCTAGGTCTGTACAATATACAATATGTACATCTCAGCTGGGCTTGGTCGTGCAAAACTGTAATCCCAGCACTGGGGAGGCTGAGGCAGGAGGATCACTGTGACTTCGAGACCAGCCTGGGCTATATAGTGAGTTCCAGGTCAGTTTCAACTACATAGTGAGACCTGTATCAAAAACCAAACAACAAAAAAATATATGTACATCTTAAGGAGCCATGCTTCTAAGACATGAACTCAGGGAAACTACAATTCTTTAAGCACATTCCACTTGATAAAACCATTCACATAGCTCACTGAGGAACACGGAATGCCATTTCGGGGACCAAGGAGCCTGTCTGCTGTGCTCTTCTCAGAGATCCTTGCTGACTCCAGCTCACGGCCTTGACTCAAGCTGGTCTGGGGCGCCGTCTACACAGCAAAGTTATTCTGCTTCTAAAGAGCAGGTGTTTATTGGTAAACAGGATTGGGGGATCCTATTAAAGGAAAGAAAATGACCCACATGTCAGTTAATCTGAGTGAAAGGGTCACAGGAAACAAGGCAAGCTCACCTGGCACAACGCTGAGGGTGATGGTTCTTTTGATATCGTTGAACCATCCCGGGACCTCAATACGGCAGCAGTACTGGCCACTGTCACCCACGGTTACGTTCCTGATGGTCAAGGACACGTCTCCCTGCTTAATCTGCCCGTGTAGCCGATAACGCCCATCTTTCCTGGAGGTGACCTGGTGTCCATCGGTCCAGATAAGTGTATCGGAGCACTGGTTCCTGGGACAGGGCCCTCGGCCCCAGCACATGGATGTGACGGCCCCTCCAGACACCGAGTAGGTGCAGGGCAGCGTGACCAGCTGCCCCACCACGGCGCTCACTTGGGTGGAAAACACAGCACCTGAAGGAAACACAGGAAGAGGGAGACTGGGACCTCAATATTTACCTCACTTTTTTCCACTTTTTAATTCATTCATATTTTTCTGTTTAGGTACTTTGTGAACATGAATTTTCAGCATGATTTTATTTTCTTGATACTGGAGACTGAACCCAGCCTCATGAATGCAAGTTGTAAGGGCTCTAGTCCTGAGCTTTATGCCCAGAGAGAATTATTTTGAGTTAGGGTCTCAATAAGTCGGTGGCCTTGGTTGGCCTCAAACTTGAGATGCTTCTGCCTCAGTCTCTCAGGTAGCTGGGAATTCAAGTGGGTGGGCCACACCACACCGAGCGATAGCTTAAACTTCAAAGTTTTGATACTACAAACATTTTCCTGTTAGTGTATTCTTCCTCGGTATCGTTGTTTCATTGATATATTTGTGGATCAGACAGTTGATTGTACTGTATGATATTCAGGCAGCTCCTCATTTTTACTACGAAAATAAAGAGCATGGCAAAATCTTTCTAGCACACAACTGTTCTATATTTGCTAACAAAGAAATTACCAGGAGGGAACTGAAAGGTGTGTGACACCAGGCCCAACTCACAAGGCTTTTAAAAGGCCTGGCAGCAGTGCTGGGTGTACAGCGAAAAGTCTCTCTTCCCTGCAGGGTCCCAGCTCTCTCTTCTAGATTCAATCCCTCTATTAGGTAAAACACATATTTAAAAAATCAGGTCTAGCCTGGGATTTGGCTCAGTGGTTCGGCAGCCTGCCTCACAAGTGGATCTGAGTTTGATCCCCAGTACCAAAATAAATAGAGTGAATAATTATTATATATATTTTAAAAAGTCTAACCAGACATACTGGGCACACCTGGAATCCCATCACACTGGGAGGCTGAGATGGGAGAATCCCAACTTCCACCCCACCTGGGTAATTTAGGGACTTAGGGAGTCACTTTTCAAAATTAAAAAGACAGGGCTGTGGATATAGCTCAGTGTTGCATTTTAAAACTGCTATGGGGGGCAGTGAAACAGGGTCGTGCTATGTAGCCCAGGCTGGCTTTGAACTCGAGGCAGTACTCCTGCCTCAGCCTCCACTGTGCTTGAACTACAGGCATGTGTCACCATGCCCAGCCTGCGTTGCTTTTCTTTTTAAAATTTTTTTCTTTTTTATTTAAATTGTTTTCTTTTTAATAACTGTATATGCCTATATACATACATGGAGATTTTTTTTTTTCTTTTTGTACTGGGAATTGAACTCCAGACCTTGCACTTGCTTGGCAGGCAGCAGAACCACTAAGCTAAATACCTGGCCTTTAAAACTGCTATTTTAAATGAAATCATTTCCTTTATAACTGCCCCCCCAAAACAAGAAGAGCTAATGTTTTTTTTTTAAATAATATTGTCTGAAGGGCAAAACTCTACTAAACTCTTCAAGAATTGAATTGTTAGAAAATAGTTTTATAACGCTTCTAGGAGGAGCTGAGGCTCACTCTAGGCTTGAGGATCAGTCAAGAAACGCAAAAATTTAGGCAGAGATCTTGGCTAATCACAGCCTAGAAACTGAGCAAATTCAACACAAGTGAAACCACAGAATTAGAGAATACTCAGCCAGGAACCAAATTACACACTTAAAAACAATTACAGTAACCAGATGTACAGGCACACACCCATGATCCCAGGTCTTGGGAGGCAGAGGCAGGAGGATCGCTGTGAGTTGGAGGCATCCTGGGTGACACAGTGAGTTCAAAGCCATCTTAAACTACTTAGGGAGATCCCGTCTCAAGAAAATGGAAATCAGTACAGTGGCACAATACGTGGGATCGTGGATAAAAACCCTGTTTCCAAAGACACTTAAGGTATCTTTTACATCTGAGATTTACTAACTATGTGATCATACATAGGGCTGAACTGTGAGTTTGGGAAATGCTCTGAGAAGGTAATGTTCATTATTGTATAAAATAAGTGTATATCTTTGGCTGGAATTTTTATAACTGTACTGGAGAATAAACCTACAGCCTTTGAGGTAAGCTACAACCCCAGCCTTTTTATATTTTTTATTTTGAGGCAGAGTGAAACTAAGTTGCAATGGCTAAAGCTGGGCTACAAATTGTGATCCTCTTGTTTCAGCTTCGCACAGTGTGAGGATTACAAGTGTGCAACACCACGCCTGGCTATCACTGGAATTCTTCTAATTCAAGCCTCAAATCATTCTTTGGAGTACAAGTACAATGCGTGTTATTATAATTAATAAACTCCCACAATCCACTCCTCCAACATTAGTCTTACAAATTTAGGAGATGTTTAGACATTTCATAGAATGCTTTCAATCATAATATAGCCAGGTAGAGTGAGTGGTGCGTGCCTGTAATCACAGCACTGTGGGAAGCTGAGGTAGGAGGATCACAGGTTTAAAACTAACATGGGCAACTTACTGAGACCATGTCTCAAAATAAAAAAAAATAAAAAGAGCCAGAAATACAGATCAGTATGAAGGCCCTGGGTTCAATCCTCAGTACAAGAGAAAGAAGGAAGATAGACAGAAAGTTATTTTAAATGAAATGGTTCGAAAGGGTTTTAAAACACCAAGCACAAAGAATGTACTGAAACGCAGCCTCCCTCGCCCGTGCACCGTCTGCCCAGCTCCCGCCCCTGCATGGGAAGTACAAAGCGCACCTGTGTTCCTCCTCTCAGCTCGCTCACTTAGCCATCAGCGGGGGCAGTCAGAGCAGCCACCAATGGATTTGGAGTAAGATGTCGTCCTGGCGCTCTGCTCCCTGCTTAGCAGGTGACCGTCCTACGAAGCCCAGGGCGCCTGTCCTCCTCCAGCCCCACCACCCCAGACGCCCGCCGCTACTCACTCACCTGTCTGCAGCAGCAGGAGGCCTAAGGCGACTGCCTGCAGGTGAAGGACCATGCTGACCGACGCAGTCTGCTCAGGTCTCAGGGCGCGGCCCGCAGCTTCTCCTTCCTCCCTGTGGGTCACAGGCACCTGCTCTTGGGGCGGGGGGCAGACAGTGAGTGGCTTCGGAGCCGGGTCAGCTCCGAGTGGAGGACGGGGAGCGCTGTCCGCCAAGCCAGCCCTTCATTTCCCATCCTTCCCCACACGCAGCCTCCAATCTGACTCGGGCTCTGACCCCGCAGAGAAGGCAGCCAGAGGCAGCGATGGTGAGCGTGGCTCAGAGCAAACACCAGGCTTCCACGGGCAGGGATGGGCGGCAGGGGTTCGAGCCTCGCCTCAGCCAGGCTCGGGGCCACGTTCACCTGTGGTCAGACTGACTGAGCGAGCACGTGGAGCGTTCACTCCTCATGCTCCCGGGAGCACTGGGTCCGACTGCATTTACTGAGGAACGTCAAGAGAATACCTCAAGGAAACCTGGGTTCGGATGCAAGCCCTGACACTCACAAAGTTGAGTGACCCTCGGTGTGACAGCCCCTCAGAGCCTTGATTTCCTCACTGATAAAACAGCACTAAGC